ACGGAACTCCCCGAGGACGTTTCTCACACCAACATCGTTCCCCACCCGTTGATGAGCATTCCCCCCTTTTATAAAGTGAAACTATTTTTCTAGAGAAAAAGGGTCTTTCTCGACGCACGTGGCCTCCAGCTCCCTGGACGGCCGCCTTGCGTTTCCAACACACAGCTCCTTTGTTTTCCGGGCGAGGACATGTGGGGCCTGGCCCTTGGAGGGAAGGACAGCGTTGACACCTCGAAAGCCAGCGACAAGGAAACCTGGAGCTCTGCCCACGAGGAGGGGAAGCAGCGGGTGGAGGGACGTGAGACGTCGTGAACTGTTCCCGCGTGCGGCTGACCCGCGCCCAGCTCTCCCGTGGTCGTCGTCCCGAGTCGGGCCGGTGCTCATCCCCCAGTTCCCGGTGCTCGTCCCGTGTCCCGCCGCCCGCACCACCTGGCTCTACCTCAGCCGTCAAGAGCCTCTCGGACTCCGACCCCGACCCCGTCCCCGTCCCCCGTCCTGTGGCTAGCTCTCCTGTCGTCTGTGATGCATGCCGTCCAGTCACTACTGTATTTGACACTAATAAACGTGGTGGAAAGCACGCAGGTCTGGGCTGTTTCTTCTCCCCCCTGCCTTTTGGCCTCTGGGACCTGTGGCCCTCAGTGTCGCCCCCCCCCCCCCACTTGTCCTTTGCCCCCTGCAGCCAAGACTGGCTCCCGAGAGCTCGGCCCCACCAGTGTCTTTGTCGAAAGTCTGAATTCCTCCACTGCCCAACCCACTAAAAATGACCACCGCCCTGGCAGCCAGTGTTCCCACACGCGCACCCCCATCCTTTCCTGTGTCCAACTTCGCTCCTTTACTGGGGCTCTGTGAGTGACAGACACCCCGTTTTCATTGCCCTGCAGACGTCCTGGAGGGCGCTCTCCCCGGGGAGCGTGTTAGCGGCGGCCGCTCTCCCTGCACTCGGGGGCCGGGTCCCACCGCCCTGTCCTTCCCCCGGCTGTTCCTCGGGTGGGTCATCTGCCTAGGTCTTCCCTTTGACCTGGGTTTTTGCAGTTGCCCTGAGATGCGTCTGCTTACGGATTTGTCCTTCTCGGGAATTCGCAGTCTTGTGTCTGCAGGTTGTCTTTCATCAGTTCTGGGACATTCTCAAGTACTATTTTGGATGGTATTTCCCTGCCCACTCGCTCCCGCCCCCCGCTCCTCACTGCATCCTCCACCTGGCCCCTTCGGCTGACCCACATGCTCCCTATGCACCGTCTCCACTGCTCCGCTCCTCTTGTGCCCACTCAGCCACCAAACACAGTCACGGGGCTTTCCGTTTCAGCTGTGAATGTTTTCCATTCCTACACACTCTGGTTGTTTGGCAAGCCCACGAGGCTACTTTCTACGTTTCCTACTCCCTGGAGGCAGGTCCTCAAACACAGTGGGCACAGCGGTTCGCCATCTGGCCTGGCACTTCTGTCCTGTGGGGTCTGCGTGGGTCTGTTGCCCTTGGTCCCTGCCCAAGCTGCTTCATTTCTCCGGGTGCCTGGTTATCTTTGATGCCCTGAGGATGCTCTTACAGGTTCTTCAAGACCTGGGATGGGGGCCCCTCCCCAGGGGCTTCCTGGTCCCCCCTTCCAGGGCCAGCCGCTTCCCACGGGGGGCCACCTGGCCCGGTGAGGCCTTCAAGTTCCCTGGCCTGCCCAGCTTCTCCTGTCCGGGGTGGGTTTGCCTCTTGCCAGGCAATCCCAAGTGGGAGGGGCCTTGGCGGTGGTCCCAGCATCCCTGCCCTTGACCCACCTCTGCAGAGGAGGCCAGAGGACCCCAACTGCCTCCCCCAGCAGCAGATTCACCCCAGGAAGCAGCCTCCCGGAGTCAGAGGGGGCTGTGGAGAGGCTCGGGGGCTGTTCTCCATGGGCAGACGGAGGAAGTGACCCTCACTGGACTGGGGGAAGGGGTTGGGGGGCAACTGGGAGGGTGGAGGGGAAGAGAGCAGCCCCTGGTACCCAGTGGGTTCTCTCTCAGATGCCTTCCCATGGGGAACCTGAGCCTTATCAGCCCCCCACCCCGTGTCAGCCATGGGACACAGCAGCAAGGCTGAGAACCCTAAGGGATACGCAGCCTTGGCCCAGGGTCCCTCTAAGATTCAGGGGTCTGGCCCCACATCGCCTCAGAGCCCGAAGTGCCCTCCTTGCCTCACAGAGCTGTCTCCAGTGGCCCCCAAAGCCAGCTGCCCTGGTGTGGGGTACCCCCTTCTACCAACCCCCTTCTCCCCGCACCCGGAATTCTGCCGCACCAGGCGAACCCTGTCTGTGCACCTACCATTTACCCACCTGCCACATGTGTTCCTCCTCAATCCCACGGGCAGCGCAGAGCGGGCGGTGCCACCAGCTGGCCACGTGACTCTGTCTGGGCAAGTCCTAGATGCCGCTGGTCCAGTTCCCCCTCTGGAGCCCAGGGCAGGGACTGGCGAGCTTCCCAGGGCCCCTCCACGGGTGACGGTCCCATGCGGAGCCCCAGCTGGGACAAGGGGATCCGAGGGAGGGGAAAGGCACAGGCTCTGGACTCAGATGGCCCTGGGCGTGTCCCTCCGCCCGCCCTCCGAGCAGCGGTTTCCTCAGCTGGACAGAGCGGATCATGGCCCTCTCATCGGAGCTGCGAGCATGAGCTCCACGTGCCAGGCCATGGCCACGGCCAGGCCCGCAGCACACGGAGCCACGGCCGGGGCCCCAGCACACGGAGCCACGGCCGGGCCCACAGCACTTAGAGCCACGCCGGCACCTCCAGATGAGGGGTTCCCCACGACAGCCTCAGGCCAGCCGTGCAGACATAGGAGCGAGTAAAGGTGAGCACGCAGCCCAGGAAGGAGAGGCAGGCCCCGCCCACACTTCCTCATCCTGCCCACTTCCTAAAGTTGGCTTCCTTCCCTTCACATGGCGAATGGTGCCCTCCCCGCCACCTGGCAGAGGACCAGAGTGAGCCTCTAAGAATGCTCTTTGGAAGAAAATGTTCAGAGAAGGAAACCGAGCGAGGCCTAGAGTACCCCTGCCATTCTTCCCAGTAAGCCACCTGGCCAAGGGGAGGGGCTTGCAGGCAGCTGGGCCTCGGGGCGGAGTTGGTCAAGCCCACACGCAGCACTGAGAACAGCCACTGTGGCTTCTGGGAGCCTGGATGTCTCCCCGCCCGAAGCGGGCAGAGCTCTGGTTGGTTCAAGGGGACAGGCCGGAAAAAGAAGGGACGCGAGGACGGCTCCTGACAGCAGGCTGGGCCTGGGACAGGCTCAGGAGAGAGGCTGTTGCCCAC